TCCGATCGCAGTTCCGATCCCAATTCCGATCCCAATTTCAATCCCAGCTCTGATCCCAGCTCCGATCCCAGTTCCGATCCCGATTTTGATCCCGAGGGAAGCGCTGCTGGCAGGCACAGGGCACACAGCAGGATCGCCAGCGCGGCACTGCTCTCCATCGGAGATTCCGCTGGTTCAGCACTTGGAACTCCCCAAAATCATTCCATGGATCCTGTGGATTCTTCGGAGCGTTCCTGACATCCCACCGGAACTAATCCTTCCACCCAGGGAAAATCCTCCCGGGTGCCTAGGTGGGAAGCACGGCTAAAAAAAGAGATAGGAAATGGTTATGGACACCCCAGGGTGGGAATTCTGGGAATTCCATCGGGAATGCTCTTTGAATGGGACAGCGGAATGTTCTGACCATCGGATCCAATCCAACTCTGCCCGAATTCCATCGATTTTGGGTGGATTTGGCAATTTCAGAGATGCACTTCTCCCTTCTCCGTAAACTTCCCACATTATTTTACGATTCCCACTGGGAAAGCAAAAACAAAGGAAAACCTCCTGTTTTGTTTTCCCACCAAACTCCAAAATAACAGCAGGAATTACTCCTGGAATCCCCCAAAYAACGCWGTGGRGCACACARAAACCCCAAAATCCCAATTCCTTAYGAAGGCCCTGCCCMGCCCTGACTGCCACAARCACACCCCGGAGTCAGGAGCGTTTCCCGAATCCCATCCCGACATTCCCACCTCTACTGGGGCTGATCCATGGAAATCCGGGGAGCTCTGAGCTACTTTGGCTCTGCTGCCACCGCACCCTCGAGGCCTTGGGGCCGTCCCCATGGGAGCAGCTCTGATGTCACAGCGGGGGCTCGATGGCCCCAACATTCCAGGGGAGAACCCCAGGAGGGTTTGACCATTCCTGAGGGATCTGACCCCAAATCGACGGATCTGCCGGGGCTATCCCAGGAAATCGCTTGGAGAGGAGATTCCAGCGGGATCCGTGYGGTGCTTGGGCATCCCTGAGGAATAACGCGCTGCTGGAGTGTTTTTCCCTGGAAAATCCACRTTTTTCAACAGAGGAATTCCCCAGCTATGTTCTCTGCAGATTTTGACCACAATTTCATGGAAAAGGTGCTCAGGGATGGGAGTCTCCGTGCCAGCATTTCATCTCAGCAYTCCTGCGAGGGTTTGGTTGGGAAATGTTCTTCAGCACGGAATGAACATCCCCATTGTCCTTCCTGACACTCCAAATGTGGGATCCCAAAGCTCCAGGAATGGGATTTTCCACCCCAAATCCCCCCAGAGCCGCTCYCAGCTCCGTGTTCAGCTCCCCTTCCTGGGCTGGCTCCGAGGGCACTYGGGGATCCAGGAATTCCAGATGGGTTTGGGTGGGAAAAGACCCAAAATCCCATCCGGTGTCACCCCTGTCACAGCAGGGACACCTCCCACCATCCCAGGGTGCTCCAAACCCCGTCCAAACTGGCCTTGGACACTCCCAGGGATGGAACAGCCACAGATTTTCTGGGAATTCCATCCCAGGYCTCTTCTAAGCACTCAGGGTTCGGTTTTACTCCACATTTACTCCACAATTACTCCTTTCCCTCCAATAAAACCAATCAAAGTCACTCCAAAAACCCCAAACCCACCCYAAAACAGCATATTTGGAAAATTCCCTAGAAATGCCCTTGTTTAGCACGGAAAAGCTGAGATTTACCCAGGAATTTTAGGAAATGGAAGGTACATCTTTATTTACAAACACGAAACCGCTGCCGCCGCCGGGCACCGCCACCCGGCCCCGGGCCCGATCCGATATCGTACAAAACTCCAGGAAATAAAATAAGGATGGGAAATAAATCGGGAAATAAAATAAGGATGGGSAGAAAGAAATAAAATAAGGATGGGGAGAAAGAAATAAAATAAGGATGGAAAATAAGTCAGGAAATAAAATAAGGATGGGGAGAAAGAAATAAAATAAGGGAAGAAAACAGGAAATAAAATAAGGATGGGAAGTATAGCCGGAATTAAAATAAGGATGGGAAATACACTAGGAGATAAAATAAAGATGGGAAAAAAACAGGAAATAAAATTAAGGATGGGAACTAAAGCTGGAAATTAAARTAAGAATGGGAAATAAAGCRGGAAATAAAATAAGGATGGGAAATAAACCAAGAAAAATAAAAAAAGGCTGGGAAATAAAGCAGGAAAAATAAAATAAGAGCTGGAAGGAAACAAAGCCAGGGCACTGACACTGTACAGAGGGGCTGGAGCCRAGGGCAAAGCCGAGCTCGGGGTGAATCCCAAGTTTTAATCCAACCTGAGAACCTCGGCCTGGGCATTCTGAAATCCTGGGGGGCTCAGGAGCAGCACCCAGGGGTGGGCTGGACACGGCAGAGTCACCCCACAAGCAGAGAAAACACCCCAAAAAAAAAAAATCTGAATTTTGTACTTGTCATCATCGATCCTATGAAATGAGACCGAAAAGCTGGAAATGAAAACACCAAGTTTTGAAAAATTTCAGAAGCTTTGATTTCCAGGGTCTTCTCTCTCCCCATTTTTGTACCTCCCGCACAGTTCTGGCTGTAAATAAATCACTTTGTAACTCCCTTCCTGCCTCTCGTGTCTGCAGGATGCTCAGGACATTTAAATACCTCAGAAAATCCCAATAATTCCACCCGGGGGAGCACTGAGAGCAACGAAACTCCGAAGTCTGGGGGGAAAAAAAGAGGGATTTAGGAATGAAAATTTCCTTTTATCAGGATGTGGGATAAGAGGTGCCGGGCTGTGGGTTTGGGATGGGGAAAGTGCCTCTTCCCATTCCTACACGGGAAATCCGGAAGGAATGAAAGGTTGGAAATGCGCTGTCAGCTTCCATTTTCATCCCGGAAAACGGGAAAACCAAAAACCCCTCGGAAAAAGTTTCGTTTCAGTTCAGAGACAAAAAAAAAAAAAAATCGGTTCTGGTTTTATCTCCGAGCGGAGGAGGAAGGGAAAAAAGGGAAAAATTCCTCCCAGGGAAAAGATGGGGAAAAAAATCACTGGGAAGGACAGGGGGGAATTTTTGGGGAAAACAAAAAACCAACATTGGAAAAGCAATTTTTTATCAAAAGCTGCTTCCGGCTGCTCCTTCTGCTCGCAGGAAAAATCAACACCGAGGGAAGGCTCCTCTTCAGAGATTCCAGAGGGGTCTCRGATCCTCAAATCCACCGGGAATTCCACCAAAACCTGGCCTGGGAGCTCGGGACTCACCGGGAATTTTCCAGGATGGAAAAAGGGGAGATCGCAGGACACGGYGAGGAATAAAAACACTCGGGGCGTTCTTCCGTCCGGGAATGATGAGAGATTTCGGGAGATGGAGGTGGAGAGGCTCTGGAGCAGCAGGGAAGGGGGGTCCAGCTGATTTTGGGGATTTTGCAGGGATTTATCCCCACCAGGACATTCCAAGCGCTTTCCCCCCGAGCCGGCGCCGGTGACGGATCCACGGAGGAGGAGGAACGGGGTTGATCCCTGTTCCGGTGTCATTCCCGCCCCAAAGTCGCTCCCAAAATCCGTGGGGAGTCAGTCCCAGATGGCTCCTCCGGGCCCCGGCGTTCCCGAGACAGGGAAGGACACGGGGATGGGGAGGAGAATCTTCAGAGCAACTCTGAGATTGCACCACCTGCTGAAAAGAGGGGAAAAAACGGGGAAAATGAGCACGGGAGATCCCAGAAACAAAAAATGGGGAAAATGAACAACTGGGAGATGGCAGGAACTGGAGAGCACCAAAAAATGGGGGAAATAAGCCTGGGAGATCACAGGAGCACCAAAAAAACGGGGAAAATGAGCACGGGAGATCCCAGAAACAAAAAAATGGGGAAAATGAGCCTGGGAGATGGTGGGAACATCGAAAAATGGGGGAAATGAGTCACCAGAACCWCCCAGRASATCCCAGAAACCAAAAAACAGGGAAAATGGGCCTGGGAGTTGGCAGGAGCACCAAAAAACGGGGAAAATGAGCAACCAGGATCATTCGAGAGATCCCAGAAACCAAAAAAATGGTGAAAATGAGCACCTCAGGAGCTCCACAAACTGAAGAGCACCGAAAAATGGGGAAAAAGAGCAACTGGGATCACCCAGGAGATTCCAGACATTAAAAAATGGGGAAAATGAGCTTCCCAGGAGCTCCCAGAAATGGGAAAACGAAAAAATTGGGAAAAATGGGGAAAATGAGCCACCCAGGAGCTCCCCAGAACCGGAGAAAACCAAAAAATGGGAAAAAAGGGGCCACCAGAACCACTCAGTAGCTCCCAGAAACCAGAGAACACCAAATAGGGCAGGAAAAACAGGGAAACAACGAGGTTTTGAGATTTTTCCCAATTTCCCTTCATCCCACACAGCACAGAGAACACCCCAAAGCCAGCGCAGGCAGCCAAGACTGGAATCAGATTTTAGAGACTCTGCCACCTCCAGGAGATGGGAAAATTCCCTGGAATTCGGGTTTTAACCCGTTTGGGAGGGAAGAGAATTCCCAGATTGGCTCGGGAATCCCATTCCACCCCAAAAGCAGGAAAAGGAGTCYGAGTGTTTTCCATTCCAGGGTAAAATCCAGCAAAAATCCACCCCAAAAGCASCGAATTCACCCCAAAAAATCCTCCCAGGCAGGACTTTGGAAGAAGGGGGAAAATAAAAACATGGGAAAAGGGTTTGGAATATTCCAGAGGGATCGGGAATGGGATTTCCCCGCAGGAAAGCGACACCYGGAACAAGGGATTGGGGACAGCAGCTGAGAGCAAAGTTATGGATAACAAAAATAATCAGATTTTAAAAAATCTTTGACAAAAGTCATCAAATCAGCAAAAAGCTGAGCAAAGATTGCATGTTTATTAAATGCAATCGAGTTTTAATTAAATAGCAATTAAATATTGAATAAAAATTGATAAAATATTAAATATGGATTAAATATTGTTTAAAATATTGATTAAATATTTGTTAAATTGTGATTAATATTAATTAAATATTGATTAAATATTGATTAAATATTGATTATATATTGATTAAATATCACAGTGCTTTCCTGAGAGCTGAACTTAAACCTGGAAAATCAAAGTTTCCAGCACTGGATTTTTTGGGAGGAAATCACTGGAATTCTCTTTGGGAATCCCAAAATTTGGGTTCTGGGCATGAGCCCTGTCTGGTTTATATTAATTAATATTGCCATGGTAATTAGCAGTGATCAAAGCAGTAATTAAGAGGTTTGCTGACGGAATTAATGATCTCCTGGCCAGCCAGCACAGACACCCGAGGATTCAAGGTGTCTTAAAACATTCCCAATATCCCCTAAAAACTTGGGAAATCCCAAAAAAATCCTACTCCAGAACCTCCTCAGCGCCTCCAAACCCCATTAGGGATATTCCCACTGCTCCATTCCTGGATTTTTCCAGATGATGGAAACCCAGAGATCGTTCCACCCATTTTTTTTCCATAAAATATCCCAAATTCCTGCAAATAACAACGATTGGGACGAGTGAGGAGCTGAGCGGGAAGGGCAGAGAGCGGTGAGGGGGGGAAAATCGGGAATAAATCCCGCCTGGAGAGCCTCAAATCCAYGGCAGCAGCTGCTGGGCTCAAGGAAATGCAAAATTTGGGGAGAG